CTTTGCATGATTTTGCTTGTCAGCTGCACTTGCGACCCCAAAGAAATTGCGAACTTAAAAAAACAATGAATGCCAAAATTCCTCAAGCTTTGAATGCGAATGCCTGTTGGCTGTGAAACTTTCGACTGTGCTGAAGATGGTCTTTCTCATGATTTCTTAAAACAAATGGAATTTTATTGCGAGTGAACAGCAAATGTATTGTACTGTATAACAGCTCTGAAAATTGCCTGTCGGTGTATGGAATTCAGCCAAGCATTGGAGCACCTGGGCCCATGCAGAGCTAATATCCTCGACAAGTATTGCAGTCTCTCTTCAGGGCTATCAGGCAACCGAAACGGCACAAACAGCTGACCGTACGTATTCCGTCCATTGGGTAATTCTTCAGTGGTATTCAATATGGCTGGAGCTGACAAACAGTCATTGTTAGTATTGTCAGACAGGCATTGCCGAGAGATCGCCAGTGCAACGTTGCACTCTTCTGCTACGACATTCGTTGCATTGTAAACCGTTGACGGAATTGCTCAATGCGTAGTAGAGGCACGCGTGAAATTCGTCCTCTTCCTCTGCACCATTGGTCAGTGATATGCGTGCAGAAGTAGTTGTTTTGTGTCAACATTTTTTTATTGTCGTTTTGTTATCTATCGTCTGTCTACAGATGAAAACTGTCACGATGACAAAGGCCCCTGTTAAAGCTAATTAATGGCATGGAATCATAACCAATTTCGTTGGTTTACGTAGGCGGCTAGAAGCGAGGGGACGGTGAATGTTATAAGACTGTCAACGTCGCACACTACTGTAAAGTAAGTTATTTCATTTTACAGATTCATCCCTGAAAATTCGGTGTCATTAATTGAAACATAATATTTCCCGGCGGCGGAATCAGAAAACTAAACCAGAAGAAAAATTCTTGGTAGCTATCCCAGACCATTCGGGTTATATTTTGTTGATGTGTCTGTGACGTTAATAAACTTGTATAACTGACGGATGAGTTGATTTCCTAGGCAATACAACTGCCCCCTCCAAAATCCCATTTTCACTACCTCAGGGTGGTTTGAGAGCGATATCCGATTCTGAAAACGATGTGCAGCTGAGACTTTTGGCTCTGGAAGGTTCAACCATCCTGTGCTGTGATGAAGCCGGCACTCACCAATTCTCCTGGCCAGCGTAGTGAATTATACTCACATCCTCTAAGATTACGTCAAAACTGAAACATGGCCGTCAATTCCCGGAGGCTGGGTAGAAGGCGGAGGCAACCGCTTGTCAGGCAGTAGAAGTAAAGCGTGCTAAGAATTCTAGAGTCACGGAACTGAGTTGCTACGGTTTACTAACTCTGGTAACATGCAACTGCAGATTATTTCTTGGCTGAATAACGCTTCATGAGCTGGAAGAAGAACAAGAAAATAAGTTTGGCATTTTTGGTCTCAACGAAGAAGGATAGGCTGTTACAGCTTCACAGCAGGTGCCTCATATTCTATGAAAAATTGAAAGACGGAAAAACTGAAAAAGTACGGTGTATTACTACTACAGAACAATGTGGATTTAGAGGACAGCAATTCAGAGAGACGCGGAAGACAGGTTCCACGGTTTCGAAAGGGATACAAACTCAATACCAAATGATCCAAGCCATCCAGAGGAAGAGGTTGAAGATTTATGCAGAAAAATCGAAGAACTACAAGAACATGGAAAGGCCATTACATATTCATCATTGGTGATTTCACCGCCAAAGTTGGGCAGCAGCAAGGAACCGAAGGCCCCCCCCCCCCGCCGGCTTGAT